CTTTTGCCCACAGCACTTCCGTGCCACCCTGCGCCTCTCACGTGCTGGTCCACTAGACCTGAGCCGCACTCAGGACAGTGCCCTGGGGGCTTCAGCTGGCCTTGAGGCCACAGTCCCTTCTGATCCTGTCTCTGACCCCTGGTGCAGCCGTCCAGCCTTTAACCGTGAGGTGAATGCCTCTGAGCCTCACTTTCTGAAGTGCGAAATGTAGATAATTATACTTATATTCACGCGCCTCATGGGACTTCTTAATATTTATAGCTGCAAAATACTTTGCAGTCATTTTTATTAATAGTTACCAGATGTGTCGTAAGAATTAATGAACTTATGATCTGAAATGTTTTGAGCTCTCGAAATAGGAGGCAGCCGCCTGCATGGGGGATATGCAGAGGAGCATTAAAATGCAAACAGTACCGTTTGGAAATGTGAGCCCTTCTGTGTGAAGGACAGATGACACTGAAGAGTTCGGTACACTCTGAGGGTGTTGCTGGTGTGTGTAGTGAGGCTGCTGAATTCACCGAAGGCCACCGCCCGGTACAGAAAGCTGGTGCTCTTCCCGGCCGGGCACACGCGTGGGTGCATGTGCGCCGACTTGCTGCCCCCTCTGAAGCCAGCGGCCCCCTCGCCCTGTCTCCTGTTCTTCCCGGGCGCCATCTCACTCTCGCCCCTAGTTGTCTCCAGGTGTTTGGTGGCCTTCTTCATATCTCTGAATTCTCCTTCCTGTCTCCTTTTCCTCTTATCATCCAAGTTTAGGCTCTTACATTACTGGTGCTGTGCCGAACCACTGACGCAACTGCTTAATTGATTTCTCCCAATTCTCTGTCTCCTCCTCTAGGGATGATCTTCTGTAAGCCTAGTTCTTACTACCGCTTCATTCAGTTCCTCTGCTAGCTCTTCGTTGCCTGCAAACATCCACCATAAGCTCATAAGGCCGCCTCCGCACGCCCTGACCTCCCTTCCCCCTGCCCAACTCTGGTCACTGCAGATCCTTCCCTCTCTTGAAGACCTCCTGGAAAGTTGAGGAGCTCTTCCCAGGCAGGGAAGTGAGAGAAGGGAGCCTCCAGACAGAAAGGGCAGCCTGCCTTTGTCACGCTACTTTTCATGGGTTGCTTGGCCCCTGCCAGGGGCCGTTGTGTCTTCATGGTCTGTCTCCAGGTGGTCACCCCCATGGAGATGTTCTCGGTCTGCTCCCTGGATAACCCCTTCCTCCTCCGCATCTTCTCTGCTTGGAAACTTTCGTTCTGATACCTGTCATCTTCCTTGATGTTTTCATTTTTTTGCATACGCGTCCTTCCCCCAGACGGTGTTGCTGCCTTGTTAAGAGTGAGCCCGTATCCTTCTGGTCTTCATATTCCCACAGCACTATTGAAACACTTTGTGCACCTGAGACCTGAGTCCTTACTTTTTTTTTTTAAGTATTTAAAATATTTTAAAATTATTTGCTTATTTTTTTTTGCGGGGGAGGCTGTGCTGGATCTTCAGTGCCGTATTCGGGCTTTCTCTAGTTCTGGTGAGTGGGAGCTACTGTCTAGTTGTGATGCACGGACTTCTCATCGCCACGTCTTCTCTTGTTGCAGAGCAGAGGCTCGGCAGTCGTGGTACACCAGCTTAGTTGCTCCGAGGCATGTGGAGTCTCCCTGGACCAGGGATTGAAGCCATGTCCCCTGCACTAGCAGGTGGATTCTTAACCACTGGCCCACCAGGGAAGTCCCTGAGTCTGTGTTGAGCTGAAGGAGAGCCCCACTAAAGCAGAGCCCCAGTTTAAGTTGTCATGCAGGGCAGCATTGTGGGAACATTTGAAATACACAAAAATAGAGGGAATACTGTGGTGGATCCCCATGCAGTCGTCACCCAGCCTCCGTGGAAACTTGTCTGCGGGCAGTCCTGGGGTCTGTGCGTCTGTGCCCACCCTCTTGAGCACGCCCTCTGCTGGAGAACAGTCCGCCCTGCTGCGCTCTCATCCAGAGCTGCTGTCTGCAGCCACTGCTAGGAGGGGGCACATGAAGCGCCTCGTGCGGGGAGCGGAGAAGTAGGTGTGGGCGGGAGTATCTGAGTTTACACTCAGGACCCGCTCAGACCTGATGTGATCTTATCGTTGACATAGGTTCCAGCCACTTCAGGTGTATCCAGGAGTTGGGCGGGTGTCCCTACAGAGCAGAGCTGTTGCCTGATCAAGAAGTATAAGTGTTAGTTATGTCCGACTCTCTGACCCCATGGACTGTAGCCCGCCAGGCTGCCCTGTCCATGGACTTCTCCAGGCAAGAATACTGGAGTAGGTTGCCATGTCCTTCTCCAGGGGAATCTTCCTGACCCAAGGATCGAACCCAGGTCTCCTGCATTGCGGGCAGATTCATTACTGTTTGAGCTACTCGGGAAGAAGCAGTTGTGGCGGTGGGGTGGGGGGTGGGGGTTGCAGAAAGTAGTGCTTGTGGAGAGTGAGGGGCCGTGAGGGGAAGCGTGAGGTCTTCAGCATGGAAGCCTGGAGCCACGAAGTTGGGGCCCTGTCCCTCAGGAAGCCCTGTGGCTCCGCTGGATTCCAGTATTGCATCCCAGTCACAGATACTTTCCCAAGCATTCACTGGATTTGTAAAAAATTATTCTGAGTCATAAAGAAAAGTATATTTTTCTGTACTCCCATTTAGGAAGACATAGAAAAGGTTTCATCCTGGGTGGATTTTTACATTTTTGTGCTTTAAAGGAGAATGTTTCATCTCAATCTTGTCTCTTTTAAATAAGATATAACTGAAAAATGTAAGTATTTTGGTGTTCCAGCTTAACAAACTTTTTTTCTGCCCTCACTGAGAGATATGGTCTGAACACCTTGCCATTCGTGGGGGGCTTCGGACACAATGGGGAAAATGAAAATGAAGGTGCAGCCCCTGCACTGAAGGGGCCGTAAGACAGTGGAGGGCATGTGCTTGAAATGGAGAATCCCTGAGAGGAAGCCCAGGGCAGGCAAGACGTGTGACGGGAGTTGGGTGGAGAGGGGCATGGGGGTCTTTCCTGGTCGGAATCGAGGGAGAGGCTGTGGGGTTCATGGCCTTGCTGCTGGCAGGGCGCCCTGCCTCGTTCTGTTCCATTGTCTTTCTTAAACACACCTCTGATCCCGGCTCTCCTTGGCCTTCACCTGGAGGAGCTCCCCAGTATCTGCAGGGTAGAGTGTATCTTCTCTTAGTTTATCCTTAGGTCTGCCCATCTGTTTGGCTGTATCTCCTACCATGTCCTACTTCACTATCTCTGGGCCTTTTTCTCGGATGCTGGTGCTGTTCCCTTACCTCTGGCAGAATCAGTCCCTTCTGGCACCTTTCTCCCAGAGGCTGTCTCAGGGCAGCATTGGCTGTAGCAGTACCTTTGCTGCCACGCAGCTGTTTGGTGTGTGAATGGAGGTCGACACCCTTCTCTGTGCGCTGTTTTGTTCCAGATGGACTTTCTCCCTTCAGTTAAGAGTCTGGGCTGCTAGAAAGGAAGCACGACTTGGGCTGTCAGCCTTCACGCCTGCAGACTCCTGGGGAGTCATGACTGCAGGGGAGCCCTGGCGCCCGGACACACCAGGGGCCTGGGAGGGACCAGGTGCTCAGGGCTGGAGGAAGGGAATCGAAAAGGTTTCCAGCCCAAGTAGACTAGATAGATCAGGCTACTGCGTGGCAACAAGCCCCGACACCCAGCTTTGACTCCTCCTGTGAAATGGGATTGAGGGTAGGTGTTTGGCGTGGATGGAGCCCTCTTAGAGCTGAGCTGTCTGAGGTGACCTCCAGACCTGTGCATCGGAGCAGGAGGCAGGCCCAGGAAGGGGCCAGACCTTGGTTGGGGAAATAAATGCAGAACATTGTAGACCCCAGGTTTCTTCAAGATGGTTGCATCTGCTCTGTGCCCACCTGCCGTTGTGAACGCAGCAGCTGCCGACTCCTTCAGGGTTACCAGGTCCTCCTCCAAGCTTTTCTTTTTTCTGGGGCTAGTTTTTGTGTGTTTTTTAGGTGTTTTAAAAAGCTGTTCCTTGAACCACACATCCATTAGGAACCGGCTCCACTCATGTGATCTCACTTGTGCCCATCAATTCAGGCTCTTATCCCATCAACCCTGCTCTGTCGTTGGCACCTGTCGTTTGCCCGCCTCACTCTTGCACGTTTCTGCAGCCAGTCTGCCGTCCATTGCCAGGTTGGTCATCTTCATGTCTTGCCCCCTCCGCCCAGGAGCTGGGGGGTCCTCGCCATTGCCCAGGGGCTTCTCTCAGACCCCAGAGCCTCTGCTCACGTTGCTGTCCCTCTGTACCCCAGCCACACTGGCGTCCAGCCTCGTCCCCCTCGCTGCCTGTGATGGCCCCGCCCGTGCGCCTCTGGACCAGGAATCTCCCTGGCCAGGCAAGGCTTGGTTTGTACTCCACCTCCCCTGAAGCCTTTGCTGATCTTCCTGTCCTGTCACATCTCTCTGTTAGGTCCTGTAACGCTCCTATGTACAGATAATAAGTGATACTCATGCGTGCTCTATCGTGTCCAACTCTGCAACCCCAGGGACTATAGCCCGCCAGTCTCCTCTGTCCCTGGGATTTTTCCAGGCAAGAATATGGGAGTGGATTCCCATTTCCTTCTCCAGGGGATCTTCTGGACCCAGGGCTCAAACCCACGTCTCCTGCATTGGTAGGCGGGATCTTTACCACTGAGCCATCCAGAAAGCTCCATGTTCAGATCCAGCCCTTGGCTAACGTGTGCCATGCATGCAGAGAGCACCTCCACTCCTTACTGTCTTTAGCCCGTGTCTGGTGTCTCTGGGGCTGGGCCACTGACTCTCCTCCTGACTTTGTATATTTCCGGCAGAGCATCCCCACCCAGCGCCCGACAGCCCTGCCAGGCAGTGACTTGTCAGAATCCCTACAAGCTGTAGAAGTTCAAACTCTGGGTGGGTCCTCCTGACAGCTCTCCCGTCTCTTCAGTTGAAGGCTTCTCTGGTTCTGTCTGCTCTGCTCCCCCTGAGCCTCGAGCCCACCTGCTCCCTTGTCTCCTCAGCCCGTGCCCCGAATCATGGTGCAGCCGGCCCTTCCGGACGCCGGGTCACCCAGGATGGCCGAGGTGAGTTGGTCGGGCCGGGTGGTGCCTTCTCCGCGGCTGTCCCACATACAGCGGGTGGCCCCAGTGCTGTAACTGTGGAGTCCACGCCCGTGGCTTTTAATTTTAGCATTCCCGTCTTGATAATGAACTATAATATAGGTCACTGTCTTCTCCTTCTGTTTTGCTTGTTACACTTTTCTATTTTCAACTTGCTAATCATATGATTGCTAAACTCTTAGGTGCTTGACTGCTAATGCCGTCTGCTGTTTTAATAGCCCACTGCTCGGCAGAGGCGATTTCTATAAACAGAACCCTCTCCTTATCCCAAGTGCTGGCTTCATTCTCAGTTCTGCATTTTATTCTGATTCATGATATCAGCGTGAAAAGACTGACGCTAAGCTGGGGTAGAAAATCATCTCTTATGATCTCCCACAGATGAACAGCACTTCTCATCTTATGAATAGCAAATCTATTTTCTCCCACTGTGCCGTTCATCCTCTGAGGAGACGCTGTGTCTTCCATAGGAAGTGTTTTATTTTTTACAACAGAAGCAAAAGAGGCCAAATAATTAGAAAGATAATTCAGATGTCCAAGAGTTCACTCCTTTCTGCGTGGCCCATTTCAATCCTAGGTGTTCACGAATTTAACCAAAGGTAGAGCTGCCCCCGCCCGTGCCCCCATGAGTTGTGTTGATTTCTTGAGGCAGGACTGGGGCTCCCAGGCCAGTGGGGCAGAGGGAGACCCTTACACGAGGCTGTTGCCCTGCTGGCTTGCTCAGATCTAGGCTTTCTGGCAGCCTTAGGAATGTCTGTGCTAAACTGTGACCCAGAGACGGCAGGGAGATTCCCACTCACATAGCAACTCCAATTGAGTGGGAACCTGCAGTGGCAAAGCGGAAGGATCAGAGCTGCGCTTGGCTCAGCGGGAAAGAACCAAGAACTGGGGTAATCAGAGATCACCTTCCGCGCCCCCCTCTCCTCTTTCCTGTTGCTGTGGGTCTGACCTCTGATCCCCAGCTTTTCCCTTACTGGAGGCTTTGGGTGAATAGCTTCTCTGGGCCACGTCATAAAGTAAGTCCGTTCTAGCCCACATCAGAGGACTCTCTGGAAACTGATGGGGTAGAAGCTGATGGGTCTCTGAGGCGCTGTCCCTGGGCCATTCACTCCTCAGGACTAAGTCTTTCCTTCAGCAGATCCTGCAACTGGTGGGGGGTGGGGGGCGCTTATCCCCAGGGAGTGGGGAACTGCAGACTATTTCAGAACCATGGTTACTGTTCAGATTTCAGAGTCTCCTAAATTTTGCTTGTGTATTCTTCCCTGCCTGGTCAGTGAGATTAAAAATAGAATAGAAAAGGATAAATAAAACATGTACAAGTTGCGAGAGAAAAATGATTGAAGGATTGCCTCATCTTTTAGAGTATTTATGCTGGTGACAGTTATTGATCTACTGGATTTAGTAAATTTTGCAGCCCAGAGATCCATCACAAAAATGGGTTGTTAATCTCAAGAGGTGCCGTTAATTTCGTACCCTGAGAGTGTGCCTTGTGGGGGAAGGAGGGCCTCCGGAGACAGGAATATAAATGACAATTCACGTGAAAATGCATGATTTATCAAACTGCTGAGTTAAGCCAAGTAACTGTAAGAGACTTATAGATCTCAGCTGTTTCCCAGTTCAAATAAATCCTGTATTTCAAATGGAAAATGGCCATTCCTGTAAGATAAATAATCTTTCCGTAAATATTGAGAACATATTTCTTTTTCTGAGCAGCACCCTTCTCGCCCCACAACCCAGTTCCCACTCTGTCTCCCATTCCCTGCCATTGTGCACCGGGAATAGAAAGATAATCTGCCGCCTTCTCCTGGTGGCTGAAGTTTTCATGGCAGGAACGCCCGAGAGCACGTCGGGCCCATGGGGCTCGGCGGAGAGTCAGCTGTTGGCATCCCCAGGGCACGGGGCTCCGAGTGGCTCTGCTGGTGTGACTCAGACCCAGGGACGAGAGGCGGGGAGCCCAGCGCAGCTTTGGCCTCACTCAGCCCTGCTCGCCGGGCTGGCGGCTCCTCGGCCCACTAGTCTCCAGGATCAGAGACCCTGACCCGGGCCATGGGACCAGCCTTGAGCAGCGCCTCGAAAGACAGCCTCTCGGGAAGGGGACAGCCCTCAGGCAGCCTCTGTCCCTCCTCTTCCCCTGCCCCCGGCCCCACAGGCCCCAGGGGTGTCGCTCCTGCCCGAGCTGTGCCCTGGCACGTCCGGATCCCTCGCCGAGGCCCCCGTTTCAGTTCTGCAGGAGCAGAGTGCTCTCCTGGCCCCCAGCGATCTCTCAGCCTCCCCAGGAAGTTGGTGCTGGGCTGGGGGGAGTGGTGTCCGTTCCCGAGAGAGCAGAGCTCCGGGCCTGAGTGCCGGCGTAAGAGGGAGTCGGCGTTCACATGTGCCATTCTTTATGTGAAGGCTTGCCTGCCCGTCTTGTACCACACTGCCCAGCTGCTGCCCCACGTCGGCGTTCCCACCACCAGGCAGTTCTGACCCCAGGGGAGTGCCCCACAGTTAACTCCACCTGACCCTCTCTATCCAGTGACAGCATCCGATCCCCGCAGCTTGAGGGCTCCGCCCCACACGACTGCCCCCACTTCAGTCGCCAAGTCCCGCAGGCTCCAGACCAGAGGATCCCCTGACCCCTCCCTCAGGTGCAGTGGATTTGCTGGAGCGACTCACAGAACCCAGGAGAAGTATCTGACTTACTAGACTATCCCTTTATTAGAAAGGGATGTAATACAGGAGCAGGCAGATGGGAGAGGCCTGCAGGGGAAGGCAAGGCACTGCCATGCTCTCTGGGCACGGTGTCTGCTCCCATCGCCACGTGTTCACCTACCCAGAAACTCTCCAGACCCTGTCCTTTTAGGTGTTTTGTGGAGGTCATTACATAGGCATGGTTGATTAAATCGTTGGCCACTGGTGAGTGAGTCAGCCTCCAGCCCCTTCCCAGAGGTCAGGATGGGATGGAAAGTTACACCCTTCTAGTCATGTGATTGGTCCCCTTGGCAAGCAGCCCCTCCCTTGCTGCTGCTGCTAAGTCGCTTCAATCGTGTTCGACTCTGTGCGACCCCATAGACGGCAGCCCAGCAGGCTGCCGTCCTGGGATTCTCCAGGCAAGAACACTGGAGTGGGTTGCCGTTTCCTTATCCAGTGCATGAAAGTGAAAAGTGAAAGTGAAGTCACTCAGTCGTGTCCGACTCTTCGCAAACTAGCCTGCCAGGCTCCTCCATCCATGGCATTTCCCAGGCAAGAGTACTGGAGTGGGGTGCCATTGCCTTCTCCGGCCCCTCCCTTGGGGGTTTTCCAAAAGTCACCCCCCTTAACATAAACTCAGATGTGGTCGTAAGGGGCTTGTTATGAGTATCAGGAAACCTTTCTTGTTTCTAGCATTTGGGAAACCCCAAGGGTTTTAGGGGTTCTGTACCAAAAAACAAGACATTTAAGACCAAATGTGTAATTCTTAACTAGAAACCTTACCGTCACAGGCAGCTGCAGGAGCTGTGCTTATGGAAGGGGGCGGCAGTGAGGGGCACTCTGGGCTGCCTTGCTCAGCCCGGGTCAGGGCAGGGAGGGGCAGCGGTGGCTTGGAGCCTGTTGGCCTCTGTTGTCCGTGCTCAGAGGTGGCACGGAGAGCTGATGTGGGAGCCTTCCGCCCTGTTGCACGGCCCCTCTAGTCACCATCAGAGCTGTCTATCTCCGCCGACAGCAGGATTGGCCTCGAAGCTTTGTGGAGGAATGCCTGACTCTGAACTCTCCCCTTTCCAGGCTCAGCGGGAGAACGGGGGGCTGCGCGTGGCCCCCAGCATGCCTGTGGCCCCGCCGGCCACCCCTGCGCCCAGGACCTGTGATGGGTCCCCGAGAGTGACACCCACCTCTCCAGCCCCCGAGGGTGGGGATGGGCCCCCCAGCCCCCTGAGCGAAGCGTCCAGCGGCTATTTCTCGCACAGCGTCTCCACCGCCACCCTGTCGGATGCCTGTGGCCCGGGTCTGGATGCCATGGCCTCGACCCCTCCGGGCCCCGGCCTGGCCACCCTCGAGCCCCCAGCCACCTTGGTGGAGGGAAAGGCACCGGGCAATGGTGCAGCCCTGGCCCCAGTCGGGGTGTCTGCAGAGAAGCAGAACAAGGCAGCGGGCCCCCCACCACCCAACCAGGCAAGCAGGAGCTACCCTGCTGCCCCCCAGAAGCCAGAGAACACTCAGCCCCAGGTGAAACCAGTTGCTGGCCCAGAGTCCGACATCTCCAGGCCACCGCCTTCAGACCCCCGGTTCCAGTTGCCCGCTCCCACCTCTCCATTCAGGATCCAGAAGGTGCGGACCTCGGAGCTGAAGTCGTTCACGCGCATGCTTGGCGGAGACCCCGGCAGCCCCTCGGGGACCACGGAGGACCCACTGGCCTCAGGGGACCTGGGGGACGGCGGCGCTGGGGCTCAGGCCCTGGGAAAGCTGGAAGTCTCCTCGGATTCTGAAGAAACCAGTGAGGTCCCAGAGTGGCTCAAGGAGGGGGAGTATGTGACGGTGGGCACCAACAAGACGGGCATCGTGAGATACGTGGGACCCACCGACTTTCAGGAGGGCACCTGGGTTGGAGTGGAGCTGGACTTACCTTCAGGTGAGTGATGCTAGTTTGGGACAGGCTCCTGCCCACATGCCTACTGCAGTCTGGCAGAAAAGTGTGGGTGCTGCCAAGCACCTGCTGTGTGCCCTTGGGCACATTGTTGCCCTCTCTGAGCCCTGGAGTTACCACTTTTCAAAATCAGGAATTTTCTCTAGATAAGACTCTCCTAAGTGTTTTAAGAGTCAGATTCTCTCTTTTTTTAACTTGCAGAGATTTGTCAGAAACTTAAGACATTCATTGAAAGCTACTAAATATTCGATAATGAATTTAAATCCTGGATCTTAGTTTTTAGTCACAGAAAGGGCTGCATTTGAACTGTCACAGCATCTCTGCTCTGCTAGCTCAGGTTACAAACTCTGATGCCTGTGGAAGTTCAGATGCCTCAGGTGTTCTCCAGACACCCCCAGGCTCCTGGGCCCCCAGCAGGAGGACGGGAGGAGAGGTGAGTCTCCTGTATAGAAGGGCCCACCTTCAGGCCAAGACATCATCATTTGCAGAAAAACTGAGGGCAGGGCTTAAGGAATTGTTTTCCTGTTGTTTTTTTAAAATTGAGATACAGTTGATTTACAATATTAGCTTCCAGTGTACAACTGGTGATAAAAATTTTTATAGATTATACTCCATTTAAAGTTACTCTGAAACACTGGCTGTGTTGCAGGTGCCGTATAATGTATGCTTGTAGCCTGTTGTATACACAGTAGTTTGTGCCTCCTAAATCCCCTGCCTCTGTCCTGCCGCTCCCGCTTCCCTTTCCCCAGCTGGTAAATCAGTTTGTTCTCTGCGTCTGCAAGGCTGCTTCTGTTTTGTTATAGTCCTTTGTTTTATTTTTTCAGTTCCACATGTAAGAGAGAACATACAGTATTTGTCTGTCCGACTTATTTCACTTAGCATAATGCCGCCTAGGTCTAGCTGCATTGTATATAGCAAATGGACAGCAGGTTTTTTTGTTTTTTGGAAATAGTTTTATTGTGATGCAGTTCACATAACAAAAAATCCAGAAGTTTAAAGGGTAGAGTTCAGCAGTTCTTACTATATTTCCAGAGTTGTGCAACCTGATTTTACAATGGGTTTATCAGCCCCAAAAGAAGCCATAGGTCGATTAGCGAGATACTGCCCTCCCCAAGCCCCAGGTAAACCATTAATCTATACTGTTTGTCAAAATTGATATGAAAGGTCCTAATCTGGACCTTTCATATAAATGGAGTCATAAAGACCCGAGCTTCTATGGCTGGCTTATTTCACTTCTCCAGTTCCCCGGGCTCAGCCAGTCGCGTCTGTCCGCCCTTCGTTTCTTCTTATGGCCCCTGCTGTCCCGTCGTAAGGCCGCCCGTGGTGTTCATCCACTTGTCGGTTGATGCACACCTGGGTTGCTTCCACTTTCTGGCCGTTGAGAGTGAAGCAGCGGGGAATCCTCATCTAAGTTTCGTGTGGACGTCCTTTCTCTTGAGGAGCTACAGGCGGCTCTCTGCGTCCCACACACTGAGCCCTGCCGGCCGGCCTGCCTCTCCCCCTCCTCCGCTGTGTCCCGGGGCGGGGCGGCCGCTCCGTGAGCGGAAGCTTGGGGGACACGTAGGGGTCAGGGACCCACTCCTCATCCCCCGCCCCATGCTGCCCTTCACCTTGAAGCACTTTCTGTTTGCTTTTATGAAGGAAACATCTTCTCCCCACCTTGACACATCAGGCTGACAGCTCACTAGCTGTTGCCGTTTAGTTTCTCGATTGTGTCCTGCTCTTGGCGCCCCCATGGACCGTAGCCCGCCAGGCTCCTCTGTCCGTGCGATTCTCCAGGCAAGAATGCTGGAGTGGGTTGCCGTTTCCTCCTCCAGGGGAGCTTCCCGACCCAGGGATCTAACCCGAGGCTCCTGCTTGGCAGGTGGATTCTTTACCACTGAGCCACCAGGGAAGCCCATCTCTCTAGCTTCAGTTTGGTAATTTGCCAGTTCCCATCCAATAGCTTTAGAAAAAATAATCATTTTACCTTACGACCTCCTTGCTTGGTCTGCATTTTGACTGTCCAGACTGAAAATGGTCAGTGCTGAGGGAGAACAGTGGGCTCTGCTTTGCCACATGGGCATCAGAAGCAACCAGGCCTTGACCGAGTCTGAGGCCACAGGGATCTGTCCTCAGTGACCACTGGTGCTGCCGGGGAGGCGCTGCCCGGGCCCCACGCCTTCCACGGGGCGCGGCTGCTCGGGCGCACGGGGGTCCCCTGGGGCTGGGAGCCACCTCCACACCTTCCTCTCTTTCCGCAGGTAAGAATGACGGCTCCATCGGCGGGAGGCAGTACTTCAAGTGCAACCCGGGCTACGGCTTGCTGGTGAGGCCGGACCGCGTGCGCAGGGCAGCAGGCACGGGGCGGAGGCGCAGCGCGGGGCTCCGTCTGCAGGGCGCCCCCGAGCCCCGCAGGAGTGGCCTGCTCTCTGGCTCCGCCAGCAACCTGGCCTCGCTGACGGCGGCGCTGGCCAAGACCGAGGGCACGGCACTGAGGGCCGAGCGCGGCCACAGGAACCCCGAGAACCGCAAGTCCTGGGCCAGCTGAGCGGCGGGGCAGTTGCCTCCTGTCCTTCCGGGGTGATGGACAGAGGGCTCCAGGCCCCTCCAAGCCTTTGCAGGGACAGTCTTTGGGGGGCCCTGTAGCCCCTCTCCCTGGAGACAGGCCAGGAATGCTTTTTGCACGGTGACGTGGGGCTGGTGACCCCCCGCCCCTCACTCCCCTCGTTTCGCCCTCTCCCCAGGGGGTGAGGGCGCGTCTCAGCTGGACCTCAGGTGGAAGGTTCCAGGAGCCCGGAGTGAGGTCCCAGCTGTCCCTGGGCCTGGGGCTGCCCACTCACGGCCGCTGTTGCTCTTTGTTCTATCTGGTGACCCCGTTAACCTCTTAATTTAAAACATAATTGTTAACTAGTGCCTTGTCACTTCCATGGAGGCGGCCCCCAGCACCTCAAGTCCTGGCTTGCACCCCAGTTACCCCCAACACCCCCCAAGTGCCAGCTCCTCTTAAGTGCCTGGGCCCCAGGCCTGCCCCCTCTTTCCCGCTTTCTTTCCACAGGGTTTCTTAGAGGTTCCTTTGTGGGTGTTTCAGCGCCTTTATACCTGGAAAGTTTTCTCTCTGCCATTTATTCCCTTAACAGAGTTCCTGGATTATATTTATTTATATTTATTTTTTTCAAAATCTAAAATTGTCCGCGAGCCACAATCGTCCACTCAGCACCGGTACCCAGGGCCCACCTTGCACATCGCCGGCCTCCGTGACCGCTGCGGAACGGCCAGCCTGCTGCCTCAGACGGGGCTCCTCGAGGGGTCAGAGGACACTCAGCTCCTCCCTGCGTCTTAAACACAGATGCACAAGTGGCCTTACTCTCATCTGACAGCAAACACGGGAGGAGGCGGTGGTTGTGCTTCTGTGTTCAGAGGCGTCACAGGCTTCCTTGGTGCAGTGTGGGGTCTGGGAGGGTCCTTAGACCAGTTGAGCTTCATGGCAGTTCTGTGCTCTGGTGCCCACTCAGCCCAGGGCTGCAGCCCGGCAGGGTTCGCCCCGGGGGCCTCTAGGAGCCATGGGCCAGGCAGCCGTGGCCCTGAGCGCTTTTTCCATCAGTGCCTCTCGAATTACCAAGGTGGTGGTCCAGTGACCTGGTGACGAACATTCGGCTGCCTTCCCTGCATGTCATCGCGGGAGCCACTGGGCCTGTGCTGTGAGCAAGACTTGGGGACACCCTGCAGTTGGGGGTGGAAGCTCGGAGCTGGAGTTTGCACACAGCATTCTAGCCTGCCTCTTCAGTTCTCATGTTTAGACTCTTAAAAATGATAGCCAGAAAGCTTGAAAAAAAAAGAACAACAAAACTCGGTTCTCCAGCAACATGAAGCCCCTCACTTGAAGGCGGCCCTGGTTCCCTGCCCCTGGGAGGGGCCACAGGAAGGAGCGCGGATGAAGTGGCCTCCTCGACCCGGTGTGCTGACACCAAGGCACCCTCCTGTCACCTCCGGGACTGCGGGACAGGATGGAGCCACGTGCAGGCTCTGCCGGCCATGGGCTTGCCTGCCCAGAACAAGATCTCATCACCGCAAGCCTCCCTGGCCCGATTTAGAAAGGGGGACAGGCCCGGGAGTCTAAGCTTGCACCCCTTGGTCTCAACAGATCACTCCCAGCTTGGGAGCTGGAGGGGTCCTCACAGTGAACAGGCTGAAACCAAGGAGAGTTACTGGTTTTTCCAGTGTGTGGAAGGCCCGGCCTCTGATTCCCCATCCGGGCTCTGTGTCCCTGAGAAGTGGCTTCCAGCCCACCTGGACCTCTGCCCGTCCAGGGCACAGCTGCCCGGCACAGAGTCTGCAGGTTTTAATGACCTGGCCCAGTATGCCCTCGCTCCATCTGTTGCCCCAGCAGACAGCCGACCGGGGGTTCCGGGGAGGGGTGGGGGGCTCCCCATGACAGCTGCCCTAACGGGCAGAAGGCATCTTTCTCATTCCCCCGGTGCAGCTTCCAAGCTGGTTGTTTGCCCTCCACCACAAGAAGCCTGTCTCCTTCCTTCAGGGCCAGGACTGCCGGAGCCCCAGGTCTGCAGGGGCTGGGGGGGGGGCTGGGGGTCCCGTCTGTGGGGCCACCCCCAGCACTCCCCTCCTGTCCTCCACGGGTCTGCTGGGGGAGCCCCTGCCAGGCAGGGCGTGTGCCTGAACTAAGTGCTCTCACCTGTGTCAGCTTTTCTATGCAGCCTCCTTCCCAGCATAGATGTTCTCCAGACCTGTTTCCAGGGTGAGACCCTGCTCCCTGGACACCCTCCTGTCCCTGGGCTGTGGGGGAGCAGTGGCCCTTGCTCCCAGAGCCCCCGTGACCTGCCTGAGGGCATAAAATTGTGCACCCCACACTTGGAGAGACAGTGTGGGGAACCAGAAAGTGGTCGGGGTGTTTGTGATCCTCATGGACGGAGCCCAGTACTTGCTGGGGGGGCTCTTTTGCCCCGTGACGGGCGTCTCAACCTCGCAGAACCGGCCTGGGGTGGTCAGCTGGGGCACGAGGGGCCACGCTTATTTTGTTGCTGGTTGAGCTAAAGTGGATGAGACAACAGTAGGGTCGCTGCCCTGGGCAGGTTTTTGGCTGGAGCTTGCGGAGGCTGAGAGGAGCCTTGGGTGATACGGGCTGGCTCCTTCCAACCTTGAGGGAGGCCAGGAGCCTTAGGTGATGTGGGTCAGCTCCTTCTAACCCTGTTGTCCTGGGAGGCGTCGGGACCCCCTTCTCCTCCCGGCCTCGCCCCCCTTTCTCCTGGGGCCTGCCTTTCAAACGTCCCTATTTCCCTCTGCCTGAGCGTCTCCCATCGGCCCTGCCCCGCGCTCACCGGGGCCTGGTGTCCCTACGCAGTGAGGCGGCATCTCCTTAGAGCCCTTGGTCTCGAGCTGTTGAGACTGGGGGGCAGCGGCCAGGCCCCTATGTGCAGAGGTGGTCCTTCCTCCCGGGAGGGAAACTCTGTCGCTGCTCTTGAGTCTGTAGCCCATGGGCTCGCCTGGGATTTTCTTAGAATGAAGCGAGTTTGGGCCCAAGCTTGTGGTGTTAGGAAGGCCACGTCACTGGTCGTCCTGGTGAACTGTTCTCGGGGCCAGGAGGTCAACATGCAGGCCTCCCCAGGCACCCTCACCCGTCAGCGCTGCTGGCAGGGCAGGGGCTGGCCTGGCTCTCCTGATCCCGCTCTGGCCCCTGGATGGCCTGGGACCCTGAGGGCAGTGAAGGAGCTCTGGGAGAACACAGCGGGGTGTGGAGGCCTTGCTGGGTCCTCACAGGGTGTGGGGGGGCATCCATCGTTCCCCCCTTCTTCCACACCACGCCCCACTTTGCTTCACGACCTCACATCGCCTTGGGTCAGTGTGTGGATGGATGGAGCAGAGTCCTGGGACGCCCTGGCCCCTCGCACGCTGTCGCCCGCCTCCTGGGGGCTTGGGGACTGGCCTCTCCCAGGCGGGGCAGGCAGCTCGCCCTGCCCAGGCCGTCACGCCTGTTCCCGCTCCTCGTTGCACGCTGATGTCGGCTCGGGAGTTGAAGAGCTGCGGTCCCGAAAGCAAGGAGCCAGGCAGTTCTCCGCCTGAAGGTGTGGGGGTGTGGCTGGAGAGTGGGCGGGAGTGAGGGGCTCCCCCTTCCCTCTGTCTTCTGTCCTTGACTTGCTGACAGACAAACCTCATTTTAGACGTCAGCCAATCAGGCTCTGGGACTTAGTAAGACAGCAGGAGTGGTGGGGGGCCGTGTGGCCCGGGGGCTGAGACAGCAGGAGTGGTGGGGGACCGTGTGGCCCGGGGGCTGCAGGCTGCCGGAGGACAGGTCAGTCTCTGCTCAGAGATGGTCGCCCAGCCCAGACCGCAGGGGACTGCGGGGAGGCAGTGGGGGTGGCTGGCCGAGATGCCCAGAGGGAGCGGGAGGGTGAGAACACCCAGCGGTGGGGCTGCGTCGGGTTGGCCATGCTGGCGAGAAGGGCCCTGCGTGCTGGGTGAGCTGTGAACGGCCCCTGAGGAGTCAGTCGGAAAGGCTCAGGTGTCCAGCGCGCCCCCTTCCTTCCCCTCCCTCCTCTTGCATTAAGCGCCCTTGTCTGTGAGACCCTCTGGGAGGTTTGCTGGGCTGAGATGAGCCGCCCCGGCCGTGGCCTGCCTGCTCACACCTCTCCAGCTTCCAGGGTCGCCACTCCGTCCGTCCGTCCATCACTCCTCACCTCCAGGACAGGTTGTGCAGCCTGAGACCCCAACTCCCTTGTCCCTGCGTGCACCCTTCTCGGGGGAACGCCTCGTGCCTTCTGCGTGCTGCTCATTAATCGTGTTGGGCGCGTCTTGGAGCCTCTGTTTGTGTGGAGTTCTGTAAATATGATGGGTTCACACAAGGAAGTGATTTTGATTGGGGGATTGTTGATCCTACACGTGAAATGGGAGTTAAGAAAAACCCAAAGACTCTGTAATGACCTGTAAAGACTTAATGATTTGTATTGTATAGTGAACTAAACGTCTGTAATTTTGTACCTTATACGCCTTCCCACCATATGACCAACAGCCTTTAAATAAAACCAGATGATCTCTTGCCTACGTCTGTGGTCTTCCTGTTGCTTTCCCCTCTCCCCACCAAGGCAGGGGTGTTGGGGCTCATTCCAGACTGTCCCCCGGAGGCCGGGGTGGCCTGGTTCTGAGTGATGGGGCGGGGCTTTTCAGCATAGAGACTGGAGGAGGGGAGGCTCAGGGCAGTAGCAGGTCCCCTGAGCACACACCCCCTGGCCCTGCCGTCTTTTGTCACGTATGTGGTTTTGTGGCCAGTCGGACGAGATATCTTTCAGGAGCCAAGGACCAACAGAAACTTCCTGATGACCTTAGACTTGGAGCTTCTGGGCTAACTCGGTGGAAGGCCACTTTTCTGGAGCAGGCATGTCCCGGCTCTGGGCCTCAGCCTCCGCGTCCCCCTGGATCTGCGTGCCGCGCCCCACGTCAGGCGCCGCAGTCAGGGAGCAGGGCTTCCTTGCACTGCTGCACAGGTGAGCGGACCTTCAAAGCCTCCGCAGCAAGGGGATGGGGGAGGAAGATTAAGGCTGTGGGCGCCAGCAGGTCCCATCTCCACAGGTCTTGGAAACTGATGGCAAATTTTGGGGTCCTGCTTGCCTCAGGCCAGCATCCTCAGGACGTGGCACCCAGCGAGAACCCGAACAGCACTGGGGACAGGAGCAGGCCTTCTGAGGTGGCCCCAGGGTCCCGCCCTCCCCATGAGGACGTGGTCAGCCCAGCACGCTGGTGGCCCCACATTGGTGAGTCACTGCCAGCGCCTCGCCTGAGATAAAATGTACTTGCAAACATAAGGACCACAGCCGCTGGGAGGGCTGAGGAGGAGGTGGCCGGCAGTCAGAGCACGTCCTGGCGGGACTTGTTTATATTCATAAGTGCCCAGGACTTGTTCTCAGAGATGAGCGCTGCCAAATAATGACAGAAATTTGGCAGCCAGGAGCTGTCCTGCTCCAAGGCAAGCGCCTCAGATGGATCTAGCTCCTAGGATAAATCTCGTTTTTTGAGCGGCTACTTACTCTCTTGCAACTCAATGAGATCTCCTCTGCATGAGGCTGTGGGGTGTTTAGTCGCTCAGACCTGAGATGGGTGCCAGTGGGGACGTCACACTGTGTCCGTTTGCTCACTCGCTGGATCACTCGGAACACCTGCGTGCTGTCCTGCACTGGGCCTTGTGCTGCTGGATGAGGTCCGGGGTCATGGAGTTAGAGCGTGGTGCCCACTGGCTGGGGGCCCTGGAGCTCTGGGGGTCGGAGGAGGTTCCTTTGGAGGGCTCTAGATGAGGCGCAGGGATGGGATGCTGTGGGCACAGCCGGGGGGAGCAGTTCCGGCCCAGATAGGAGGAGCATGGGGTGGCGACGGCCCTGGGCATCCCCCTCCTCTGAAAATGTGCTCGTCTCTATTGGCAGCCTAAAGCTTGAAGACAGCTTAAAGCTTTGCACAGTCTTTTTCTCACCATGTGTGAGAAAACAAACCACGTCTTCCTTTTCTCTTGAGAAGGGGTTGGTAAACCTGTCAGGTGAGATGGGAGCTTGGGCACCTGGTCCTTCTGTCCTGCTTAAGAATTTGTTCCCAACCATCAGACGCCTTAAAGAAACACAAACAACAAAGCTTCAGCTTTCTCTCACGTTGTTATTGACTGCTGAAGGTGAAGCCCTAGGAAAGAGGGCTTCTGTAGGAAAGTGAGGTGCTGAGGGTGCGGCTCGGCAAAGCAAGGGCTGTGGTCCTCGTGGAAGAGCAGCTGCTGGCATCCTAGTGATTTCAGGACATGGGGCGTGGTGCCTGTGGTGAGGGGGACCACGGAGAGGAAGCTACGGGAAGGCATGGCTTCTCCTGGGGAATTCAGGCAGATGCGAAGGGAGTGCAGGCTGGAGGCAGCAGGGGCCGGATTCCCAGGAGATGCTTGATCATCCCCTGGACCCCTTCCCAGTGATCTCCTAGAGTCTCTGGGACACTAGACTGTTCTTAAAGCACGAAGGGACGGATGTTCAAGACAGAAGGGTTGGGCACTTCCCAATGACTGTTCTTACTCAAAGAAATCCCGGCCAGCCTTTATATTCAGTTATACATTTTATTCTCTAATAGGTACAATACTAAAATAAACACAAATTAAAAAAAAGTTTTATTAAAACAAAACTGTACAAAAAAGCAGTATACTACATTTTAATTACAGAACAGTCTACTGTCCAAAAGGCACTAATCCAGAATAGGAGATACAAGGATACAGGACTCATTGGAACTATTTTAATCAATACAAGAGAGCGCTTGTTTCTCGAACCTTGTACATCCAGAAACAAGGGCTGTTTGCTACAGTCATCACACATCGTTATAAATATGAGTCCCACAGGCGAAGGTGCAGTATCGCTCTCCCTAGAGAAGGTTCACGTCGGGGTTGGGGGTGGGGGCGCTGGCTGGTGGGAGCACGCTGAGAAGTGGGCGGGAGCAGGGGGCAGGCCCAGGCCTTCTGTGGGGAAGGCCGGCTGCCTGGGGCACGCAGAGCCAGTCTGATGCTCATTTCTGGCCACTGCTGGCAGCCGCGCTACTGCCTCTTGTGTGTTAGCACCGGGAAGGTGGGTTCTGAGACCCTCCAGGGAGCTGGGGCTGGAGGCCTGGGGGATGAAGCGCCAGCAGCTCGGCAGAGGGGAGGCATTTTGTAACCTGATCTGAAAAAGGCAGCAACTAGGTGGAAGGGGGGGCCAGAGCCCAGGAGCCAGGCTGGCTTTCTGGGCGACCTTCTGGCCCTCGTGCGAGCCCCCCGACCCCACAGTGGGGAGTCTGCCTTAAAGCGGACAGTCTTGTTTTGGAAGCTGATTTCTAGAAAGGGGAGTTCTGGTTCCCTCAGCCCCACCTCAGGGCCTCGAGTGGCACCCGGGCAACCTGGGCCACTGCCCCACGTCTGGTGCCCAGGACGGCTCTCTCCACCCCAGGTCTCACTCTCTAGAGGACGCTGGCCCTAAGGAAGAGAGATACTGCAGATTTCCAAACAGTGTCATACACGTGAGACAAAGACAGGCATCTGATGTTAACAAAAATAAGTAACAAAGAAACAGGATTAAACCGAATCTCTTCTCACAGCATCCTATACTACATCCTCCTTCTGCTTAGCAGAAAATTGTACGTACACAAAAATACAAATACACAATTTTGTAGAACAGTCTGATTTTAATATATTTATATATATTTATATTTATACGAGTGGCAGGTTAGTTCATTATATAGAGCTTTTTGCACTTTTGGCTCATATGCAACAAGGCTTATAAATTCAGCTTTAGCTTTCATTCAGGTTTTATAGCTTTTGAACAATTGTTTTCACATTTAAAGCAGCATCCAATTTGCACTAGGAGTTTGTGGTGACAGAGGAAGAGATGGGGTCAGGAGGGTAACTGACGAGGGCGGGCCGGGGCCAGGGCAGATCTACATTCCAGTGTGTGTGGCGACGTTGGAAGGACTGCTATGGGGCACAGCTGACCATGACGACCCCTTGAGGTAGACTGAACAGCTTACAGCAGACGCAAGACACAGGTGCGACCCCCTCAGGGACTCACGGTGCACGAGACGGGAGGGGGGGGGGGGACAGAGAGACCAAGACGTGACAGGGGGCAAAGGGCTGGTGAGCCCCGCAACACGCCGCCCACTCCGGGCAGGGCCCCCGCCCAGGCAGGGCCCCGAGGCCTGTCAGGGCCCCACAGCCTGTCAGGTACTCAACTATTTGGTGGATGCTAAATACTTTCGGGCAGTCCCGAGGCATCTGATCAAATGACCATCGTCAACTTACTTTCCACTTTAGAATCCGCTGCACCAGCTAGCTCCCATCCCCGTGACGAATGCCCAGGAAGAGGGAGCAAACCATCACCCAGTGCCCGGCGACCCGGAGCCCACATCCAGGTGAGCTGAGAGAAACCAGCCTCTCCCCCCACCTCAGCCTCGCCACAACTACCACCCAGAGAGCCGACAGGCGCTGGTGGAACCTGGACCCGGCCCCTGGAGAGCCAGGGTCCGCGTGTGGCCGCCCCGTGGCAGACTCGCCCACCCACTGCCTCCGTCAAAGCCCCCTGTGCCAC